AAGCGGTTTCTAAATTATATCTGGGTTGTATGTGGACTTTGGAGCTCGTTTGCCTGAATTTAAATCCTAGTCCTGCCAGCTTGTGAACTCTTGAGTAAAACAAAATGATGCAAAAACTATAAAATTTAATACATGTAAAGTATTTAGGATAGTTTTTTAAAAAAAAGTAGACTAAGTTAAATTAGCATAATAAAATATTGTCATTATTATTATTATTATTCAAATTGTATTTGAGCAGTTACTATGACAGAACAAAACTACCCACACAAATACTGCTTCTTTGACAAAGTAGTGTCTGTCCTGTTTCAAGTTGTGACAGAGGTAAGAAGTAAACCAAGGTATGATTTTTTTTTTTGTACCGGTACCAGGGATTGAACTCACAACCACGTGCTTGCAAGGCAGGTGCTTATGCTGCTGAGCTAAATCCCCAGCCCCCACCAAGGTATGATTAAAAATATGTTTATGTTTACATTTTTAAAAACTGCATTATAATGAAAGACATATTGCCATTGATCCCCATCAAAACACTCTCCCTCACTTTAAAACACTTATCTTGTCACTTTCTGAAGAAGCTCTGAAAGCCTTCCATTAGCATCTTCAGTTGCACTGTCATGGCTGCCTTGATATCCTGAGCTAGTTTAAAATGTTTACCTTGGTACACTATATGAATTAGGTGGATGAGGACACACTAATGTTTTCACTGGACAGAATCTGAAGTGGTAAGATTATGCAACTCCAATGTGTGATCCATGATTTATGGTACACTTGAAAACATACCTCTCAATCATAACTTCTCATACACTGTTACTAAGGTTTGGCACACTGTCTCTCGGACTGAAAATCCCCATATTTCTACTGGCTGGCACTAAGCAGAAGTATTTTGCACATATTCAATACACCTTCATAAAGTGAACACAGGTAGTGGGAGGATGGCTCTTTTTGTTACAAGTTACAGAAGCAGGGTTGTGCTCTGGTTTGGGCCAACACAATGGCATGAGAAAGAAATAGAAGGTCCCTGTCATCTGCAGCAAAACTGGGAAGGGGCCCCAGGTTAAGGAACTGGCTGAACTGCAGCAGCCTTCTGTACACAAAGGATATTATGAGAGGGGTGTTTGCAAGATTAGGACTTACTCATATCCACCATCAGAAGGTAAGTTATTAATTTCCTATCATTTTATTGTATTGTATATGCATGTGGATGCCTGTATGCAGGTATGGTTAATCCTGCAACCAGGTGGTACCAGGGATCGAATTCATGACCTAGCACTTGCCAGGCAGGCGCTTATGCCGCTGAGCTAAATCCCTAGCCCTATACAACCAGATCTTTTCTCAGATACTATACTTCACTTTCTACTATTCAATTCTCCTATTTTTTAATCGACGTGGAGTTAGACTATTTTTCAGGCAAGTCTCTAAGGCAGTTTGGGTGGGATGGGCACAGAATACTGATTTCTCCAGTATGTAAGAAGAACAAAATTGCGGGGTGCCCCTGAAGTGGTTACTACTGTGAAGGAGGCCTACAACTCTTCTCTCTATATCTTAACATTATTAATTTCCATTTTCCAACAATGTGCCACCATTGTTTAAGTTATAGAGGTTTTAAGTCACCTTATGACTTAAACATATTTACATAGGCATAGCTTATTAATTCTTTGTGCTTATAAATTTAAAAAGTTATAAGAGCTTTATAGTCTATATCACATATAGCTGAAACATTTTAGAATTCAGATGTTCCTAATCCACAGAAAAACACATGAAGATAAACTGAAGGTTTATCCCCAGTGAACAGAAATGCCTTAATTACTACGGAACACAGGGCCCTGCCCTGCCTGCCCTGCCCTAACATGCCCTGCTCTGTGGTCCAGCACATGTCTGAGCACTCCTATTTACTGTAAGGCTGATGACTTCATTTCTTTCTGCACCACGTCCTCACCTATGCAGAGGTTAGGTAAGTTTACCTTAAAATTCCATTCTCACTTTGCAATGGTTTCAAATCTGTTCTGTTCCTGTTGAGCCTTTGAACTTTTTATGGTCACTTGTCTGGGGTTTCTGTGAGTGTTTATAGCAGGTTTCCTGGCAGGAGTAGCTGACAGTTTTGAGAAGAATCATAAGAGCACCCTGAAGTCTGAGTGAGCCAGAGGATTATGAGATTGCCTTTCTGTTAATTTTAAATCTGAAAAGTTTTTTGTGGTATGGGGGATTGAATCCAGGATCTGTGCACCAAGCTACATCTACAGCTCCTTTTTTATTTTTTTTATTGTGAGATGAAGTCTCGTTAAGTTGCTCAAGCTAGACTTGAACCTGCAATCTTCCTGCCTCAGTCTCTCATCAGTTGCTGAGATTTAAACTGTATGCTGTCAAACCAAGCCATCGTTTGTTTACTGTAATTTTACCAGGGTTGGTGGTTACCACATAAACAGAGGCAGGACGTTACTGGTTATGGAACCTTGTTTCCACCAGATCAGCAAAGTCCCATTCCTGTAGCCTTCCAGGTCTTTGTGCCCTTTGGCACACACAACCCTAAACTGGACACCTTACTTAGCCCTTTGTATCAGGACAGGATTCCTAAATCCAGGCAGCAGGTTATGGAAATAGCGCTTGCCTTGTCTGGGATGTTAGTGAATTCTATTAAATACCCCTTCTGCCCCTCACATGTGTTCATGTGAGTTCCCTTTCAGAGTGGCAGTTACTTGGGGTGAGGAACAAGTCTCAAAGTGAGGATTTCCATATGACTTCATAGGCTTGTAAGGTAAATATTTACACTGTTGTGCTTTTTAATCCCCCTGGGAGTGCTTGTAACAGGGTCTGGTAAAATGAACAACGGAAAGGAAAATCTTAGGCTATAGAGGATGACATGATTAGAGGAAAAGGACAAAGAAAATTGGAAATAAAACTTTGAGAGTGCACAATGACTGGAGGAATTTATCACTTGGAGGACCTTAGTGAAAGGAAAGGCAGGTAAAAAGGAAGCTCAGAGTCTAGATCTCTGGAAATCAGTCAAAGGTGGCATTCTTGAAGATAATTTTTTAGCTGATATCTTTATGTAACACATGAAGGCCCCACATGAAGGTTGGTATTTAAAATGTCATTTGAAATTCATTATTTTATCTATTCCTGGATGGTATGTCATTAATAGTAGGATTTAAATAAGATTAAGAATTTCAACCAAATCTCAGTGGAACGAAAAGGCATATGTCTCCCAAGCACCTGTCTGATTTTTCTTATAAATATTATGAAATTTGTAATGAGATTCCTTTTTCCCTTCGTATACTAAAAATTTCAGAACAAAATTTAGTCCCTCACAGACTCATATAATACATATTTCAAAATGATTTTTCCCCTACACTTATTTTCCTTCTCCTTAATATTTTCAATTTATTCATGTTTATTCTTATATGTATCTACAAATCTTTTATAAAAGGAGACAGAAACACACATAGATGCCTATAGAGAGAGATGGGTACATAGGATAGATATAGATTAAAAGCTTAAATGGCTGTGAGGTGCTTTCTGTACACACATATTTCTTGCAGAAGGTCCACTTTCATGTATAGATTGCCACTAATGTCACCATTAAGTGAGAAACATTCAAATATTCTGCTTTGAGATGCACTAAATCCACAGCGAAAGAATTGGTGGCAGATGTTGCTGAGATTCTTGAACATTAGGCCTCAGCCTAATGGTAAGGGCAACAACAATTAATCTTTGACGCTGAGAGCCTGGGATTTAGCTAAGAGGTATAAGTGCCTGCGTAGCAAGTGTGAGATCATGAGTTTGATCTCTGGTACCTCCCCCCCACCACCACAAAAAAAAAAAAAAAAAAAAAAGAAAGAAAAAAAAATCTTTGATGCTGTAAGGAACTGAACTAGAAAGCCCAAAGGCCTGGGAGAAATCTAAAATTTAGGTTTACTTCCTTAAAACATGATAGCATTAAGGATTCATAGACAGGATGCTCATTTCTGTATTTATAATGAATTCTAAGGATCTAGCACAACTCCAAAGAAATTATTTTATAAAAATACTGTTATCTTTCTCAGTGTAGTACACACACACACACACACACACACACACACACACACACAGATATACATGTACACAAACCAGAAAAAGCTTTGCAAAACAAACAGCAAACATACGCACACATAAAGACTCCAAAAAACTATAGTGTATGACTCATGTACTGTCTGCAAACAAAAGCTTTCACAGTACCAAGACCAAAGCCAGAAGACCTGATGAGGTGCCTTGGAGGGGTCTCCCTTCCCCTCCCCAGGAAAGGTTCTGCCAATTGAGGTGAGGCTTGACAAAAGGCAAGGGAGCTCCAAGTCTATTCATTTTTCTCCTTTTATTCAGCTGTGGGTAAGCGTGCCTGGCTACACTGCTGTGGCTGCTGACAGTTTTATGACAACTGAACAACTGCAAAGGCCCACCACATGATCAGGCTTAACTTTAACATCCCACAGAGCAGTGGTTCTTCAAGTGACATCCTTGAATCTCATGACTTAGAACCACCCAGAAGTTGAATGGAGCTGCTGAAACTATTGATTTCTGGGTGTCATCTGAGACCTACTACATCTGAGGCCAGCCCATCACCCCAGGTTTGAATAAAAATATGAAAACAATGAAAGATAGTGATTCTAATCCTGAACTTTAATTTGTTGAATGAAGTTTTAGAAATGGGAGGGTATTCCTCGATGTTTGTATCTTTAAAGAACAAGTATCCAACTAGTATGTATGATTTTTATGCTTTTATGTATCAGTTAAAAGTAATTTTAAAAAATAATCACATCTTTTGTTTTAAAAAAAGGAATAACAAAACATAAAAATAAAAAAGGAATGACAGATGGCAAGGTTAAATTGTGAGCAGTAATTTTAGAGTGAAGCAGAGAATAAGAAAAGCAAATTCCTAACTCAAAGTTGGTAAGGTTTGAATAGAAAGAAGACAAAAGTGTTAGTCAACAGGAAGGAAAGGCAGGGCTCCCTTTTTGCTATATATGACTTACGGCCACTGGGTTTTATCCTTCAGGGAATTCTTCCCAGAGCTGTCCACTTCGCTGGGGTTATCATCCTCCTCCATCTCCAGACTTCGACTGCAGCTCCTGATGATCTGAAAGATGCTGTTGACAGTGGATTCTTTCTCCGAATTCTTTAAGCCGTTCTGTCCTACTCGTTGCAAGAAATTATCTTGTCCACTGTAATCTGCTATAAACTACAGAAAAATACATAGAGAAATTGCTATTGCAACTTAATATGTCTGCATAACCTACTTGGCTAGGAAAACGACATCATAAACGCAATAAACAACAAGCATCTGTGCCTATTTTATTACAAAGAAAACAAGAATCTCCAGGAAAAACATTTTTTTTTCACTTCACCAAGTGAAATATCAAAACTTACACTTGTTTTCACTGAAATAAGTTTAGTCCTCTAGGAATCAACACTGCATTTAGAATTTAAAACACAAAGAAGCAATATTATTTCAGAGCTCCCTAGGGAAAATGTTAGCTATTTTACAAAGGAAGGGCAGTTATTTTATCCTAGTAGTGAAGATTGGGAAAAGCCACGATAAAAGTATCTAAAAACAGGATGAAATGACGAACCCGATGAAAACATTAAGAAAGGGTAACTTTTGCTTGGTTGCCTTTGTGTGCTACAGTGAGACCACAGCTTCTTGGTAGTCTTGGTAGTCTGGCAGAGCTTCCTGTTTCAGCACAGGAAGTCTTGTGTGGGTTGACAGGCTTCATTTAAGCTTTCTTTTTCATTTTTTGTACTTTTATTCCAGCTGCTGATGGTAGCCAATGGCGCTGTCTATACCTGTCTGGAACTCAAATTTTTTGTATACAGGTGATGCCTATGTTTTCAGGTGACAAAAAATGCCTAGAGTTTTAGGAAAGTCTCTCCACTCTGAGAAAGGGTGTGTGTGCACGTGCTTGAGAGTTGCGTGTGCATGCTTGTGCATCGTGTCTGTATGTGTGCATGGATGAGAAAGGCCAGCAAAGAGTGTAATCACAGTGTGAGAATGACCCTACAAATCAGTGTGGGACTTGTGAGTACAGGGCTTCTCTATATCTCCACAAAACTGTTGGCTTAAGTGTCTCTTTTAAGCACCTCAGAGGGAGCTTTTTCTTTTCCTTCCCATTTTACACCATCTTCTCCACTCAGAAACAAGGAGTTGTGGGCCTGGGAGGGTGGCCGCTGGGAGTGGGAGCCTGGGGCATGGGTTTGGACAGGGCGCTGGTTTCTGCAGCATCTTCCCACAAAGCAGAAGGCAGTGTTGGCTCTGTCCCCTCCCCCATTATTTCTGCCATTGATTTGAAAACGTTCATGTTCTCAGTTGACTTCCTTTGTCTCCTTGTGTCTAGGCATTCTCGACCAGCTAGAAAAACTTTTTAAAAAATAAAAAAACAACCTCCCTTCCACTTGTACTTTTCACAATGTCACATTAAACATAACGTAGATATGTTGAGCCCCGAACAGTGGCAGTTGCTTCAGAACTTTAAAAAGCTACCTGCTACTCAGAAACGACACAAGGGTCACCCTGGATTCAGTAAGAGACCTCTCATCTCGTTGGTAAGTACAGACAGGGCCTGCTGGGCATGTCAGTGACTCCTCAGAGTCTGCCTCACCTCCAAGGTCTCTTCTTGGGAATTGTACCGGGGGCAGAGCTTCATGAATCCAGAGGCTCCATCCAGCGCTTCACAGAGCTCCTTTAGAAACACCCCACAGAATGGAACCACCCTGCAGCCAGGGATGTGCAGGGCTCGCGTCACCACCTTCTGGTACTCCAAAGAGGACTCGTGCTGAGCCATTGCATCCTTCAGGCTCCTCATAGTCTCAATGTCAGACTGATCCATGAACTGCCACATCTTAAGAACTTTTCTTGACCTGTTGCAAGTACACCACATTGTTTTAGACTGAAGGGGAAATAATACAGCTTTCAGTCTGTTAGCATATATTCCATACATATTCATTCTGATTACCTTCTAAATGTTCTTTACTTGTTAATAGTTATGTAGGAATTCTACATACTCCCCTAATAATAACATCTTTGTAAACCTAAAATTACATTACTTAGTATATCTGTAAACACAAAATTAAATAGGACAGATACAAACGAACATAGGCAGATAGGATGAGATAATTATGGAAGCTGGGCACTCAGCATAGCTTTGAGCTTTTCTAGCAAAGTTAGCCAAAAGAAAAACAGAGTGGATAATAACAATTTGCATAAATATGCATGGAGAGTTGCCTGCAGAAAACCTGGTCCATTCATTCCTCTTGATCTTTAAGTCCTTCAATGACACATATGGAGCTTGTTGCTTTGGTTTCCTTGGAGGATTGCCTTTTATTGACTCAAGTTTTGATATTATGCCACCAGCCCATTTGGGGAAACTGCGTCTTAAAAGTATCATTTGCATAATAGAATGTTAAGTGGAACTTTTCTTATTTTAAAACTGCTGCTGATATCAACAGGTAGCATTGTACTCCTCCTTCTAAAGGGAGGTGTCACACCGACATGACTGCACCAGAACAGCTCAGCCCTCAGCGCTCTCTCACCCTACTGTGGTCCACATTGAAGAACTGGATCTGAGTAGCCTGGTAGAGAAAACTTGTTGGGAGAAATGTGGAAGGGCTCTTGTGAGAAGGTGGCCAGTTGCCCACGTGAAGAGGCTTCAGGTGAACTCCATTAAGGCAACAAGCCCGGGCCTGGTACATGACTCTCATGAGAGAGCAGGTGGTTTCAGCTGCCTGATGGCAAAGGGGGACGTTCTGACAGACTTTCCTGCATTTGCAGAGTTGGAAGGGCAAAGTTATAGAACTGTAGGCAAACTGCTTTTTTCTTTTTGAACATACCCTTACGTTTTTTTAGATTCATTCACATTCATAAGTATGGAGAAGAGACTGCTTATTAAACTCAAGAATAACTGGAAAAGGCACAGAACTTCCCTGTTGTACAATCCAGGTTGGGGAGCTAGAGTTAGTTGGACAGGTTTGAAATCGTGCAGTTGGAAAAATAAAATTGTTTTCTGATTTCATGCCACTGACTTCATACAACCAAATTCTTACAAAGCAGCAGGATTCCTCCCCAGCCCCACAGTAAAACGGAGGTATAAATAAGCAAAGTAAAGGGAGGTAGTTCTCATTGTTTCTCAGCCTCTCTTTTGTGTAGGTAATGGAGTCAAAGGGTACACTCTGGGTACAAGGTAAACCAGCAATCAATTAACTTTTCTTAGATTGAGAATTAACCTACATAGAAACTTTATGGTTATGAAGGTATCAGATGCTCATTATACAAACTAAAAAAGCAAAAACAAAAGCAAAACAACAGCAAACTCCCAACCAAACAAAAAACAAAACACAAACTAAAAATATAGAAAAATCACCCAGAATTCTGCATGTATTGACCACATTCAGTCTTACTAAATTTTCTAGGCTGGTCTTGAACTCACAATCCTCTTGTCTCAGCCTTTCAAGGAGCTGGGATTACAGATGTATGCTAACTTCCCAGAAGCAAACCCTCGTATCATGAGTCAGCTGATCCGCAGCCTGGGAGACAACACCTCCCCCAGACATCTTTCCTTCATGGTAAGCAATTGGCTGATTCAGAGAAACACTGGTTGAGATGATGGCAACTGAGGTACGAAAACAACCAATTGCTTGTATTGTTTGATTGACTTTGCAAGCCTAAAGCCAGTAGGCTGAGCATCTATTTAGAGGTTAATAATATGTAATATAGCAACTATGGCGGATTCCCTTCTGTCTTGTTTTTGAAATCCAATATTGTTCTCATTGTTTTGTTTGGTTCTGTTTTATTGTGTTCCCTTTGAAATAAAAAAAATGTAAAAGAATTTGACAGCATAATTGATTTAATACCTTTGATTATAAATTTTTGAACTTCTAATTTTTCTTTAAAAGAGCTAATAATTTAATTAGAGGAAGCAACATGTGCAATGTGTATAGAAAAACAAAAGGTCATTTAACAATAAGGATATTCCTTCTTTCCACCCAACTGCTTAAAAAAAAAGGAAAAAAAAAGAGAGAAAAGCCTTTTTTTGTTTTTACCTCTAGTAATCCTGATAGAGTTAAATTACTTGGAATCCAAGCACTTTCAAGTCTGAAAGCACAAACACAAACTCTATCTCTACAACCATTCCATCAAAAGAATATCTACAATTCATCTGCCTATATTATTCCAACTAAAGCACTAATTGTACCTGGTAAGTTTTCCATCTATTGGTAAAAATCAATTTAGTGTTAGGTCAAATAGAGGAGCGTGACACTAAGAGGATGAGGATCAGGGATGTAAGACAGAATGCATAGGGATCAGTGGGCTGGTTGTGTTACTCCTTATCAGTGAGACTCTTCTGGGTCTAAGGCCTTACTGGATTATGAATTCAAACTAACAATTTGTCTGAAGTCGCATTCACTCTAGGTTTTCCAGGGTCATTCTCAGGCTATTCCTTTATCAAGAGAACCTAAAACGTGGTATGTGGCAGCCTGTATCCCAGATGGTCTCCCTGATGCACACCTTTGTGTGGTCCCCACTCACAGTGACTCAGTGTTGATTCTCTGTGATCCACACAGCACAGGGAAAGTGATGGAGTTTGACTTCTGAGGCTAGTACATAAAAAGCAAGGCAGTTTGCGCCTGCTGCCTTGGCTGCTCCGCTGGAGGGAGTCAGCAACTGTTATGAAGATAGGTTTGTCCATGGAAAGAGGAGGGATAGCCCCCGCCAACAGCCAGCTCCAGCTTGGAAGGACAAGCATCATTAAAATAGAACTATTTTTCCAGGGATGGTGCCAAATCCCTGTAAACTCAGCAACTGGAAGGCTGAAGCAGGAAGATCATGAGTTCAAGTTCAGCTTATACTTTACAGTGAAACACTGTCTCAGAAAACAAAAACAACTCCCCCCAAACAAAGACAAAAAACCCAAAGAACTATTTTATTATCACATGTACTTTTTTCTTAGAATAAATGTTAACATAGACTCTTTGTAGGAAACAAATAGAATCAGAAGCATCTGGATACAACCTTATATTTTTCAAGAATTTTTTCCTGGCTTTACTTTTTTTTTGAGCCATGCCTAGTGCATTTATATGGTCATTTTAAATGCCCAATGACATGATAATTTGAATTAAGAAAGTTCAAAGGGACAAAAAGATTTATAATTTAGGGAATTTTCATTTCCTCTCCAAATCTGCAATCTCTACCTGCAGACTTAGAGGATCAAAGAAAATTCTTGCTTTTGTAATGTTATGAAGCAAGATTTATTTATAGTGAGAACCTGTGTCACAGTCATGGTGAATCATAAGAAAAAATAAGAAGAAGAACTTCTCTTTCTGGAGTCTGACTGTATACTAGGCATATCTGCCTAGAGAGGTAGGTAATTTTTGGTATTATCCCCATTTTACAGACTGAGGCTCAGTAAAATCAAGTAGCTTAACCACATCAAACACTTACTCCTTGGGGAAGAACTTGATGCTATATTACTCAGTGGTCATCTTGTTCTCAACTACCTCACACACCATGCTGCCCTCCATAGGAATGAGGGCAGGCAGTTCAAGCTGAGTAACTGATATGGAAAGGGAGCAAGGAGGGAGGCTTTATGTGGGATGGCAATTTTATTAGCTTGATGGAGAAACAAGGCATAAGAGCAGGACATTATAGTGGTCAAGATCATGGGCTTTGAAATCCAGATTGCCTCCATTATGTTCCGGCCATGCTGGAGAGAATGAGTTCTCTTAACTTTGATACAATATGGGATACTAATTCTCAAAAATGTTTTGAGAATTAAAAGCTATAATATTTGGAAAGTACTTAGCTAGTATAGAACTTGACAAATAGTGAGTACTCAGTAATGACAGAGCTAACACTGGAAGCTTACTGTTTTTGTTGGCAAATATTATTACGAGGGGCAAGAAATGGTCAGGAGCTTACAGTGCTGAGGCAATTCATAGGCAGAACTGAGAAAAGAGAGATGGGGTTTGTGGCCAGGAAAGGGAAAACAGGGACCAGTGACAGTGTTGGTGGGTCATGCATCCTGGTCATTTCACTCAGCTTGGCCAAGGACCAGAGATAGAACAGATACAATGAGGCATGACCATGACTGGGTTACAGAGACTGAATTCTGCAGCATCTTTAAGAGACAGAACTCATGGGGCTGGAAGAGGACAGTTTATTCTCCAAAATGATCACTACCAATTACCTAGCTTGAATAAATGTGGCTGCCCAGGGAATTAAATCAGTATCATTTGGCTGGTGAGAGCCAGCTGTCCAGACCACTATGTCCCCCTGACTCACCTGAGGCCTGCCAAGAACTCCATGACAGCATTGTAATTGCCCATGTTCCAGCAGCACTTGGCCACATGTACCAAATACGAGAAGACTTCCCGCTTCTCCTCCATGGAGCCCGCTGTGAGGATCAGCCATGTCACCCAGGAGCTTACCTGGAAGAGACAGTGAACTTGTGTTGGGAGCTAGACAAATACTTTTTCACCAGAAAACTATGTGGATTTTTAAAAATATATTTAGTATCGTAATAGGAAGAAGGTTGGGGATATAGCTCAGTGTTATAGCGCCTCTTTGGGAAGTGCAAGGTTCTGATTTTGATCCTGGTACAAAAAAGAAAAAAAAAATAGGACTTAGCTGATAGATCTGAAGTGAAAAACCTAACTTTGTCACTATTTGGATGGGAAACTGTGCACAGGTCATTAATCTCTCTGGCTCTTTATCCTTATCTTTACTGAAAAGGGAAACTTGTAAGACCCTTCTTGATTTGTACAACTCCATGAGACTGTTAAGGAAACAAAACCTATGAATAAATCTGATGGAAATATATTTGACTGATAGACATTGAGATTAGATGCAGTAAGTACCCTGAGTTCATAAATTAAACACATTTATCAATCAGTGAAATACATATTATCAAATAAAATATAAAAACCAATTTTTAATCTTTTTTTGACACAGGGCCTCACTACGCAGTCAGGCTGCCTTTGAACTCACTGTGTAGCCCAGGGCTGCTGCAAACTCAGCTCCTGAGTGCCGAGATTACAGTATATGCCACCACATTAAGCAGTTTCTAAATGTTTTAAACATAACTATCATCTACTATGCCTTTCAAATGCTAAACTAATGAAAACAAGTGTTTATATAGCACTTACCATGTTTTAGGAACTATTCTAGACATTTTGCCTACATTACTTCATTTATTTCTCACAACAATTCTGAGTGAATTCAAAGAGCAAGGAACTTTTAGTACCCTCAGAGACTTGCTTAAAGCCATCAACTATTAGGGAGCAAAAGCTGAATTTGGACGTAGGGTGTCTGATCCAGAGCTTGCACTATTAACCTCTAACTAGTTCCAATATGTTTATCCAAACTCCAATATTCTGCAGTTCTTGGATTTATTTATTAAAATGTGATGTTTCTTCCCCTACATAGACTGGAGTACAATATTTAATAATAATTCATATCTGCAACTCCTTCATGATATGCAGTCTTGATATGCAGCTTAATCCTGCTTAAATTGTAAGATTACTTTCCTGCTGCTCATCATTCAGTGCTTGGGCACTATGGTCCATCGAAGTTACTCAGTGTCTTCTGGCTAACATCTGAGGCGATGAGCTCAGCTGCTAACAGATCAGGCTTGGCTTTGACCCCACATGGCTCCACTTGCTGCAGCTGACTCAGCAACAGTGCTAAAACCTGGAGATCGTACTTCCCCAGCCTGTATGACAGTGACATCTGAACAGAGTTTATGGTGACTCAGACAACTGCAAGAAATAGGATTTCAAGATCAAGGTATACTGCTTATAAGTTAAAAATGATAAGGATTAATGACATTTAGTGTTGGCAGCAGATGCACAGGGCAGCTCAATCTCATTTTCCAGAGAAAGAATCTATGGCGCATAGAACGGGTCAGGAAAGACTTTCTGAGGTCAGTCCTCTCCCACTTGCCTGCCTGCCTGCCTGCCTGCCTTCCTTCCTTCCTTCCTTCCTTCCTTTCTTCCTTCCATCTTTCCTTCTTTTTTTCCTTCCTACCTTCCTCTTCTCCCTCCATTCTCATTCTCTCTCTCTTTCTCAGTTTTTGTGACAGGGTCTCACTGTGTAGTCCAGTTTAATGTTCAACTCACTATGCAGGCCAGGCTGATCTCACACTCATAGCCGTCCTCCTGCCTCAGCCTCCCTGGTGTGGGGATTATAGGTATGTGTCACCACACCTTAGCTCTCTGAGTTCTGGCAGACAGTTCTGTTGATGTCAAAACTAGGACTCCCAGTCTAGTGCTCTTTTTTCTGATGAAAAGTGACAGTTTCTTTATAGATGAATCTGGGTAAGTCTTCCTGAGCACCCAGTTTGGAGCTGGGCATTTGAAGAAAACGCTGAAATAAAAGAAGATATGAAAGAGAATATCCAAAAGTTATTTTAAAAATGAAAACAAAACTCCAAAAAACAAACATTCCCAGAATGTCCCACATTTTCTATTCCTGTACAAAAATAAATAGAGAATAGTAGCAATAGGGAATTGTAGTGATAAAAACAGGGCTAGGACCACTGAAATAATAATCTGCCTTTTCCCCTTGAAAATAGGTTGAAGTAAAACATGATGGGCCACCTGCCACCCTGAGCCTGGTCACAAGCCCCGGAAGTTCCAGGGTGCCCCTCTCCTCTGCACCAGTGCCAGATGATGCTGGCTTTCAGAAAACATCAGACCAGATCTGGAATCAGACCTCTAGGACAAGCCCTGTTCAGATCATTCCAGGAACCCTCTGGGATTCTCCTACAGTTATGAGCAATCCCTTCTTGCTGTCTTTATGTTTGTTCATGCGCCTACTTAAAAGTCAGTTTTATGAAACCCTGACTCTGTTAAACCAAGAAATTATTTTGTCAGCAGAGGCTGCCTGATATGGTGCTGCTATCCAATTTTTTAGTTTGATTTGCTTTTGATGAACTCTAAGCTACAATGAGAACTCATCAATAAACATTGAGAATCATAACACTAATTAATCCTGGAAATTTAAACCTTTCTCCTTACAAATAAAAAATGAGGTCCTAGAAAGCTAACCTGGTTCTCAAAGTCATCTAATTCATTAGAATTTGGGGCCTTTGGATATATTCTTCCCATAGCATTAGCTCTTTTCCTGTTCAAATTCATGGCAAATCTGGGTCTCTAGAAAATTATTTCTCTTTCAGGCTATTCTCTCATCATGTAGTGGCTGGAATGGTTAATTCTTCTCTCTGGAGGGGCCTGGCTTCACAGACCTGGCACAGATCATTGCTAGGTTTGTGTTCAATCCTGATCATGCATCCAGATTTATTCATCAGTCAAATCATTTTCCATACACGTTCCCACAATGCTAGGAAAAAAATAGCCATACTGTATTTCACATGGAAACCTAATTTAAACCAACTGTTCCATCACAGTGTGTGAGTCCCAAAGGGCCTCTCATAGTGGAGATTATATAAGCACGGTTATCTCTGTCTCTGTCTCTCTCTCTCTCTTTCTTGCTGTCTGTTTCTCTCTGTCTCTCTCACATACACATACATACTCTCTCACACACACCACATCTGCTTACAAACACCAGGGATACTTCTTATCATGACCTAACACAGTCATAATTTTATAGGCATTAAGAAGTGAGAATGTCATTGATCAGACAAAATAAGTGAAAAATGAGATGAAAAAGAGACAAATGTTAAAATGTTGCCTAAAGCATAAATAGTGGACATATTTACTAAGTGGAAAATGAGATGTGTTGCCAACTCAGAAATTTCAGGATACTGAGGTCACAAAGAAAAATAAAAATTACATAAAGTACTGTTATGGTTTAGCTTTAAAATGTCCCTCCTCTAAAATCCTAAATATTTAGAGATAGAGCTTTTGGAAGGTGATTGGTTGTCTTAGTTACTTTTTACTTGTCACTGAGACAAAATACCTGATGCCCAAAGTTGGGAAAGGAAAGGTGTATTTCTTAGTTTTTGGAGCTTTTAGTCCATACTCAGTTGGCTCCAAGGCAGGATGGCATGGTGGGGCCACAGTTTATGGCGGCTGCAAACAGCAAGGCGGGAAATGGCAAAAGAGAGTGACACACCTTCTTCCTGCCATTACACTGTATGCTGGCTCCACCCCTATGTGGGTGTAGCACAGACATCATCAACTGAAGCTCTAGACAATGAACCAATCACAAATGCATAATGCAAATGCATGAGGCCTGGGGACAACGACATAAACCATGACATTCCATCCCTGGCCCCCAGGACTCATGTACATCTTTTATACAAAAGACATTTAGTCCATCTCCAAGAGTTGCCAAAGTCCTAACAGTTTTAGCATTGCTGAAAAGTAAAGTCCCAAGTCTCCTCTAAGATCTATGGCAAACTCTTAATTGTAACCACTTGTGCAAATGAAACACGGTTAAACATTTTTGAAATGTAAAGGCACAAGATAAACATTATCATTCTAAAAGTTACAAACAGGGGAATAAAAAGCATTGGAAACAAAGCAAGTCCAACATCCAGCAGGATGAACATTAAGTCCTAGAGTTTTATGCTCAGCATTTGAAGTAATTTGGTTGCAAGCTCCAAAAGGTTTGGGTGAGTCCACCCCATGGCACTTCCAGAGATTTTAGTTCCCACAGCTTTTCTCTTAAACCCTTTCTTCTCCCCTTTTGCAGCTTTCCTTGGATGATCTATGTTTTGAGCTTTTTTAAACTTTTGGGGTCTCTGCTGCACCTTTGGCTTTACTCCTACATCTTTACAAATTGCCCTCTCAGGGGCACACTGCTTGGCCTCCCAGGCCCTTTGCAATAGAGATGGAAGCCGTCTTACCCTCAGAATTTGTGCATTTTCCTTGCACCTAAAATCAGCCCCACGTAGATGCTGCCAAGGTCTGCTGCCAGCTGGAGCAGCAGCCAGGCTTTTTTTTTTCCTCTTAGCTGTAGGGGTCAGTTGTCTGGATCGCGGGCTCTGTTTACCTGATTGTCAGGAAAAGCTTTTCTATGTTGTTGCCATTTTGGAACTTCATGTGGCCTCCATCGCCATTCTGGAGCACTGTGCTCTGTAGTTTTTTCCTCTGAGCAAACTTTTTCACTTTTGCAGTTTTGAGGCTGCAAAGGGTGGAGACCACGCTGTTTCCTGGGATGCCCTATGGCCATCTTTTTTCTCTCTCTGTTTCTCCTCAGCAATCAAAGTCTCAGCTCTGTCTCTACAATCCATGGCTTTCCTGGAGTTTTCCTTTGGCCAAACTCACAGCATTTTAAATTATCCTGCTGGGCTTTTTGCTCTTGATTTGCAACATAAAGCTGGCTAAAAGCCCCCAGCATTAGCCATGCCACAGCCTCAACATTCAACTGCCTTGAAATTTCCTTTGCCAGATTAATCAGTCTCAGTAGCAAGCAAAGTCTCTGGGCACAAACAAAATGCAGACAAACTTTCTGCCAAGCCATA